GCGCCGTTTTGGCACCCCAATGCTCCATCTAGCCTGCTTGTATCGCATGTCGGAGATACCCGGATCCTCTTGTGCTCCACTTTGACCGGCCAAGCCATCCCGGTCACGTCCAACCATCACCCCTCGTCGCCTATTGAAGCTTCCCGGTTACGACGGTACGCTACTACGTTTGTGACAGACTCGTTTGGAGAAGAGCGGATGAGCGGGCTTGCCAACACTCGATCTTTTGGGGACGTCCAGTCCAAGCGCATCGGTGTCTCGGCAGAGCCAGAGATCCGTCGCATCGAGATGGGCCCAGCTGAGTACTCGTTCTTGGTGCTCATGTCGGACGGAGTCAGCGGCACACTTTTAGATCAAGAGGTCGTCGACATTGTCAAGGAAGCCAAGACCCCTGACCAGGGTGCTTCCGACGTGGTCAAATTTGCGACTGAGGTGACCCGTGAAGGAGACAATGCCACCTGCCTGGTAGTCCGATTGGGCGGGTGGGAGCGACGGCTAGAGGGAGGACTGGGCAGCTTGGGGACAAAGGAGTCTCGAGAGTGGCGTCGGCAAGAAGCGACAGATCCGCGCAGGTCACGGAGATGATAATGAAGATTTTTAACATTTGATAGAGAATATGCCTGTTTGTATATAGCTAATTTCTTCTGCTGCTCGTTTGGTTCGTGCTGCTCGAGAGAGCTTTGCATAGTTTACATCTGTACATACGCAGTTCTTGACAACTAATTTCTTTTGTTTTGTCTACACGCCACTACTTCAGAATGGGGTTTTGGAGTAAGGAATTAGTTGCAGGTTGAATTCTAATTGATGTATGTATGGGAAGGGTAGATCAGGGTCCACGGGGCAACTCCTGGTCGGGACCGGCCCGGAAGAGGATGTAAGGCTGGCCGCAAACAGAGAACAGCTTCTCCTGACCACCTGCCTCTCTAGATCTTTCTCATCATCACTTGGCTCCTCTTGGAACTCGTTGTCGCACATTGACACTTACGTTCTGTAATCAACTGTCTTGATCAGTGCAATCGCACCACTCCTCGGATTGCGGCGGATGAATTAAGGTGACCGCATCGTGAGTGGCTCCTTCTTATCACCCCCCAACCTTATCGCCAAACCTCACACATGGCCATTTTCCTCTCCTGACCAACTTGGACAGACTGTCTTTCCACGCGCTGTTGAGATAGTCACGACTTCCCTTCTGTTGGCTCTCTGTACAGTGACATTATTCTCTGTTGTTCACTCGAATCCTGTGGTCTTTGGCTTCTGACACAGGCGCGTCGCAAAAAATAGCAGAAGGTACGTGTTCCACAAAGCTTTCAGGAGAATCTCCGGCGCCGTCGTCTTCTCTCAACCCCATCTGAATTTGTTTTGATCTCGTGGTCCATTTCTAGTGAGATACTGTGAGACGTGCTAACGTTACTGTCTCCATCTCTTTAGCCTTCTTACCCGACTGAGTTTGGCTGCTCCGATTGACTCGAAGCTTGCTTCGGACACGGTCCACTCGCCGTCCTCGTGGAACCCCTCGGATAGAGCTTCTCCTTCTTCCGTCAACTCCCCGTCGCCCAGGCGTTCTCTCCTCCGGAACCTACTACAAACTAGTTTTACTTTCTCTTCAGCATTCATATCATTTTCGCCACGATGGGCCCCCGTACTAGATCACAGAAAGCTGCCGCCGAGCTGGAGGCAACCGACCCATCGCCCGCCGTTAACGGGACCTTGCAGGAGTCGCCAAAGAACGGTGCAGCAGTCACTGCTGATGGGGATGTGGAGGAAAACGTGTTTCTTTTTGCTCCGAACTTGATCGGTAAGAGCTCAGCGACACTATTGCAGTCTGCCAACACCTAACTTGGATGGGTCTAGGATATGCGCGTGTTGTGTTGACGATGGCCTCCCTCTACTATATGCCTCTGCACCCGCGGACGTGCTCCCTCCTTTACAGCGTGTCGTGCCTGTTGGATGCTCTGGATGGATATGCGGCGCGCTACTATAACCAGTCTACCACATTTGGTGCGGTGCTGGACATGGTGACGGATCGGTGCACGACCGCGTGTCTGCTGGTCTTCCTGAGCTCCGCCTGGCCACGGTGGGCCATTATCTTCCAGAGCTTGATCGCTTTGGACATGGCCAGTCACTACATGCACATGTACGCGACTCTGAGCATGGGAGGTTCCAGCCAGAGCCACAAGAAGGTGGAGGCTAGCCGCAGCTGGATCTTGTACCAGTATTACCACAGCAGGGTTCGTTGTTCCTTTGCGTCTCTTTCGTTCAACATGCTGACATGCGCCACAGACCGTTCTGTTTATCTGCTGCGCGCTGAATGAGCTGTTCTTCATTGGATTGTACCTGCTCTCTTTCTCTTCCCCCACCCTGTCTCCTTCCCTCCTGCAGCCTGTGAGCACTGCCAGCCCATGGAGTGCTGGGGCTCTGGAGATGGCGCGCGCCAACAAGATCGACAGCTTCTGGCCTTGGGTGATCACCGGCATTTCGGCTCCCGTCATGGCTCTGAAGCAGTTCATCAACGTTGTGCAGCTGGTCAAGGCGAGCAAGTGGCTGGTGGAGGGCGACATTGCTAGCCGCAAGGCCATGCGCAATGGCAAGAAGAACTAAGTCAGGTTCCGACAGTTTGTGGGTGAAGTTGGCTTGTTCTAGCTACCAGTCGGCTCGACAATGACCGTTGGGCTACGTTCCCGGGATCTGGAGGAGTGATGTATGTTCCCCGACCGGGTCAGATATTTTCTGCATGGTTCTGGTGCTCTGGCTGTTCCGGACAGCTCAGAGTGGTCCAGGAGTCTCCCCATAATTTCTCTTACCCCATGTCTCTCTTCATTTTTCTATTTCTTTTCTCTGGCTCGAGGATATCGGTCATGTCTTAGTATATGTGATGGGCGGGACTGCGGCATATAAGGCTAGGTGTACAGACGTCTCAGGGCAAAAATGGGACGATATTGGAGGCGTGCTTTATTGATTCTCTACTTGCATGGCTTCTGTCTTTGTTTCAATGCTTTTTTCGTGTGATTAAATTGGCGCCGCCATCGTCGATAGCATTTTTAATCGGGACTACTAGAGTGGACACATTTACAGTGAGTCAATGTTAATAATAGCTGTAACTCCGGTGGTAAGCGTGGGTAAAAGTACATACGCCGCGCTAAACCGGGGGTGGACTAGGGCCGGCAGTGGCTCCGGTGTCGGCGCGGGGAGCCTCGCCAACTGCCCCGCCAGTCCGTATAAGTTGTAGTTTATACCTCGTTCTCCTCCGCTCAATCGTCCACTTTCCCCCGTGCCAGACTCTTCTTTTACTCGCCCTCATCATGCCCGCCTACAACATTGTCGTTTTCGCCGGTGACCACTGCGGTCCCGAGGTGAGTCCGCGCTGAGCCTATACCCATGTACAGCTCCGGACAATCGACTGACCCAGTGCCAACGTCAATCTAGGTTACCGCCGAGGCCATCAAGGTTAGCAAACCATGCTCAGCTCCGAATTGAGCTTCTAGACTCCCTCAATGCTAACTCTGCTTTACGACAGGTCCTCCGCGTCATCGAGAAGAGCCGCGATGACATCACCCTCAACCTCCAGGACCACCTGCTGGGCGGTGTACGTCCCAATCAAATCCTATGTATAACAGACCACAAAACGCTGACACTACAACTATACAGGCCTCCATTGACGCCACCGGCAACCCTCTGACCAACGAGGCCCTGACCGCGGCCAAGAACGCCGATGCCGTTCTCCTCGGTGCCATCGGTGGACCGGTACATTTTCCCCCCACCACCATACTCACCACCACCACCACCAACAACACGAACTAACCCAACCCAATAGAAATGGGGCACCGGCGCCGTCCGCCCGGAGCAAGGTCTCCTGAAGCTGCGCAAAGAAATGGGCACATTCGGCAACCTGCGCCCGTGCAACTTCGCTGCTCCCTCCCTGGTCGAGCACTCCCCCCTGAAAGCCTCAGTCTGCGAGGGCGTCGACTTCAACATCATCCGCGAACTGACGGGTGGAATCTACTTCGGAGACCGCAAGGAAGACGACGGCAGCGGCTACGCCATGGACACGGAGCCCTACTCTCGCGCCGAGATCGAGCGCATCACTCGCCTCGCCGCACACCTTGCCCTGCAGCACAACCCCCCTCTCCCCGTGTGGAGTCTGGATAAGGCCAATGTGCTGGCTACGAGTCGTCTGTGGAGAAAGACGGTCACTGAGGTCATGGCGAAGGAGTTCCCTCAGTTGAAGATTGAGCACCAGCTGATTGACTCGGCCGCTATGATTATGGTTAAGAACCCTCGCCAGTTGAACGGCATTATTGTTACGAGTAACCTGTTCGGTGATATCATTAGTGATGAGGCTAGTGTTATCCCTGGTTCTTTGGGTTTGTTGCCTAGTGCTAGTTTGAGTGGTATTCCCGATGGGAAGGGCCGCGTTAATGGTATTTATGAGCCTATTCATGGTATGTTGATCCCCTTCCCTTCTTCTTCTTTCTTTGGATGTTAGTAGGGTTTGCTGAACTAATTGGCTTTGCAGGCTCTGCTCCTGATATCGCTGGCAAGGGTATTGTCAACCCCGTTGCTGCTATTCTGTCCGTCGCTATGATGATGCAGTACTCTTTCGGTCGCTTCGATGAGGCCCGCGCTATTGAGGCTGCTGTTCGCAATGTCCTCGAGTCTGGTGTTCGTACTGGTGACATTGGTGGTAAGGCTACTACCAGCGAGGTTGGTGATGCTGTTGCTGCCGAGCTGGAGAAGTTGTTGAAGTAGGTTAATTGGGTTTGGCATGATGGGATGGGTGAAAAAGTATTGATTGCTGGGCGGGTGACCCGCATGAGATATGACTGGATCTAAATGATGAATATAATAATTACATTACTACTACTACTACTACTACTACTACTACTACTACTACTACTACTACCCACGCTACTCTCGTGATTGTTCTTACTGGTACTACGTATTAAGTATGGGGGAGAATGTATGACAGCTGCTGCGTGTATGACATATTGATGTATGTTGTAAAAGGGGGGGGGGGGTATCTAAAACTCCGCGAAATGCTATCAATCGAGTCTGACAATGAATGACTACTACTACCGAATGACAGGCTCGCCCATCCAATCCGGCTCCTCCAAACTCGTCACCACCTTGGAAACACCATCACGCTCCATATCCTCATGCGTACTGGCTCTCAATGACCGTCTGGCACTGTGTCTCCGGACACGACCATCCGCCGACGCCGACGGCGCATTCCCCACCCTCTTCCTCTCATCATCTCTGGCAAACACCTGGAACCCGCGCACATGCGTATCTTTGCCGTTTTGATGATTCTCAATGATTCGCATCTGGATGACCATGGCCTTGAGCACGTTTCCCGCATACGGATCATCCTCTTCGTCGTCGTCATCGTCATCATCCTCATCTTCATCCTCATCCACATCAACGTCAGGATCCTCAAAGATAAACCCGCCCCTTCTCTTTCCCTTCCCCTTCCTCCTCCTTCCCGACTTCTTCTTCTTCTTCCCTCCACCAGCGCCACCAGCACCAGCACCACCCTGCCTCTGCGCACTAGTAGTAACCCACCCCCCACTCCTCCCTCCCACCCCCTCCAACTCCACATCAACCCACCCACACGGCCCCTCACCTTCCCAATTAGCAAACTCAACCAGATCATTCCCGCCCATACCCGCCAGAAAAGTCATCTTAGTAGGTGTATAACTCTCATCCATCTCGAAATCCAAATACACCCTGATGCGCACAATAGCCACCAGCTTGAAGAAGTGCAAAGTGAGGGTATGCGGTTGCGGACCATCGGATTGCCAGTACTGCGTTGGAGACGGATGACGGAGAGCAGTCACGCCACAGCCGGGCTTATGTGTCGAGACGGTCCAACTGGCTAGGGAGGAGATTTCGCGGAGGTTAGCGGGGAGGGGGGTTGGGGATTTTTCTGTACATAGATCGATTGAATGATTAGTTTTATATGTATTTGAATAGGTTGACTGATAGGTGTAAAGTGGGTGGTGGGAATGGTACATACCTCGCTCATGTAGCATCTCCGACTCACTACCAGCCTCCGGCTCAATCTCCACATCCTCTTCATCCCCTTCGACCTGCTCATCATGTTCCACTTCTTCTTCGTCTTCTTCCTCGATATCAGAAGGCTCCGCCACATCCACATCATGAACAGGAAGCATTCCATCCTCCTCGGAGATAGACCGCTGGAACTGCCGCCGTCGGTGCCGGGTACGTTGATGGGCGATGGAACTGAGTGTTGTCTCATGGCTGAATCCGACCCCGTCGTACTCTTCTGGGATAGCGTCGTCCTCCTCCTCTTCTTCCTCATCTTCAACATCCTCATCGTCCATCATTTGGTCCGCTGGGTGGTTGGGCGGACGGCCATGCACGCCGCGTCCGAAGAGGGAGAACAGGGCGGCCGTTGCGGCGGGGTTGTGCGCTGCATGCTGGCTGGGGTGACTGTGGAGGGGATGATCGGGGTCGAAGGTTCCGGAGGAAGGATGGAGCGTGGGAATGGAGAGGCCTTGGGACGGAGGAGTTTGGAATTGCGCGTGGTGGCCGAGGCGCGAGCGATTGGCGCGTTGGGGCGCCGGGGGTGGTTGTTGCGGTGCGTGGTGGGGGGTGGTGCTGTCGGAGGGGGAGGAGGTGTCTGGTGCGGGGTGTCGACGGAGGAGATGATGATGACGCGGCATGTTGGTTACAGTTTGGTAGTAGATTATTGTGAATTGGCCATGGTTCGTGGGGTGATTGAGAGTGTTTGTTGATGCTGGATGGAGAATGGATGGAAAGCTTCATGGATGGACTGCCGTTATCAGTCACGTGTTTCTTATCGGGATTGTCTTAGCAGTATACCTATGGGATAAAATGAGATGAGGTTGAAATAGTTTAATTATTAGGTCAGCTGATAGCTGGGATGTACGGAAAAAGTGTATGATACATAAGCAAGCGCCTCGGATCTTCGTCCGGTGGTGCACAAATTGTTCTATATGGCTTTTTTTGGTGGTGAACTTCCGCCTGTGTGTCACCCTCAGTTTTCAACATCAACGAATCCGAGTTTCTCTCCCATCTTAATGCGCTGGCCCTTCTCAATGGTCCAGTTGAATCCTCCCTCGCGTCGGCCCTCTTCCCAGCCCGCGTCGAAGGACTTACGGGTGCCCACTGGCGCCTCGAACACCAACACGATTGAGCTACCGAGTTGGAATCCGCCCATTTCCTCACCACGCTGCAGAGGGTGACCTCCCAGGGTTTGGCTGGCGTGGAGGTAGGTAGCCTCAACGAATCCAGGGTACTGCTCACCACGCTTGGCCGCAGCGGCGGCTGCCATGTCGGCCGCGGTGTCCGTGGTAAGGCTGTTAGTACGCAACTCGGCGTCAAAGTTCACCTTGATCGAGCCAACGTTCGTGGCACCCACGGGGGTATAGCTGAAGAAACCCCAACGCCAGCGGCCCAGCAGCACGACGCGTTCATTGAGGGTGAAGAGACCCGGCAGGTGGCGCTGCAGGTACGGGGACACCGAGAACAGTTCACCCGCAAAGTGACGACGGCTCTGCACCACCCACGGCACTGGCGAATGGAAGCGGTGGTAGTCACCTGGAGCAAGGTAGATCACGACATAGTAGAGAGCATTGTTGGACGTCGGCTTCGGGGCGTACCACGGCGCACCATCCCCGCGAGCCAGATCAGCCTTGACTTCGGCTTCTGCAGAGGCTTTGTACGGGGTGGACGCATCGATGGATGCAGAACGCTTCCGGACACCGCCCTGGTCTCCTGCAAGGAGCGTGGGAAGCGTATAGGAGATGCCGTTCATTTTGGCAAACTCCGCGTCCGCCAGTATTTTGGCTTCGGTTCCCTGGGCCAGCTCGCCCTGGTGGTCTGTGAACTTATCTGTGTGGTCGGCATGGTTCGGGGTCGCGGCACCCAACAGGGCGTCCAAGCTGTATGTGACACCCTTGACCTGCTCGACTTCACCACGTTCAATCAATCCAAATTGTAAGATACGTCCGTCGGAGGGTGCAAGGATAGCGCGAGTGTCAGGGTCCAGAGGCCGAACACCGGGTTTCAGCTTGCGATAGAAGAAGGCTGCCAGGTTGGGATAGGTGTGAAGATCGGGTTCCTCAACCTCGTCTAGGTTGACGCCAAAGACCCAAGAGTAGAGTTTAAATCCCGGAACACGGAAATAATAAGGCAGCTCAATCTCATTGAAGCGCCCCCAGAGCCGCGATATGGCCTTGAGCGGCAAGGTAGACATAATCTGGACCTGCCATGGTCCACTCAGTCGGTGCTTTGGACGGGGAGGAGCTTTTTCGAAATCAAAAGTCTCGCCGGCAGCTTCTCTCTCTGCACGTTCACGTTCCGCCCGCTGGGCCTTGTAAAACTGCAGCAAGCCAAGCAAGCCGATACCGAGACCGACGGGGATGGGATACCATTCGACTTTGGTGTTTCGTAGGGCAAAACGGAGTCGGGAGCCAAAGGTGCTTCGAGGGGAAGGGTTTTCGTGGGAATTTTGATGCTGATACTGTTTCCAGGACTGCGAAAACTGCCTGGCACCGGTCTTACGACGACCAGTGGCCCGCAACGAGACTTCCATCAATCCTACCTTCTCCCCATGAGGGGAGACTGCGAACTTCCGGCAACACAGGGCAGAACGGCTGGTCAGGCACAGGGCCATAATGCGGTTCTACTCGGAGCAAGTCATCCCAGAGGGGGGGAAGTAAAAGCAACAAGTGCGAGACACCTGCCCTCTGATCACGGAACCGGGATCAACCGAGGAAGCAGCTGTGATTGCAGGATGGGATCGTCAATCTTATGACAGTCAAAACACAAAAACCCGTGATCGGCATCGGGTTTGCTGCTTCACCGCCGGGCAGAATCCCCTCCGTCCGCGCGGCTTCACTTGTCATGGTTGCCTGTCTCCGATCTGTTTGTTGGTCTGTGTGGTTTGGTTAGGTGCTTCATGGTTCTGGACAGCTTGTGGGCGTGAATGTGATATCGTGTTCAACTGACAATTCTAGCTGTTCTGCTTCATATTGCTTGGCTCGTGTGGTTGTGGCCAGTCACATCTCAGGGTTGAAAAGGACACCGTCATCATTCCGGCTTCTTGTATACTTCTCCCGCGGTCCCTGGCTGTCTGGTTCATGCACATCAACTGCCACTTGGCACTTGTTCAGATTGTCATTGTGTGCACTCGACGTGACTGATTCAACGTCTATCATTTACTTCTGATATACTCTGCTGTCTCTCTTCCAGTGAGCATTGCGACTACGATTATGCGCCTGTGATCGTCTACTCCCAACATACAACTCCAGGATGACCGCGTCGTCTGAGAACCAGCCCGCTCTGGCGGACTCTCCACAGAGCATAGTACTACATGTGTTATGTCCATCTTTACCTCCTCCCAACCGATTCACTCTCCACGACATCTCCCCGTCCATCACCATCTCCTCTCTCAAAGCTCGAATCGCGCAGACCATTCCGAGCGAACCATCACCTGAGACTCAAAGGTTGATATACCGGGGAAAGCCCCTGACGAACGATGCCGTGGCGCTGAATGACGTGTTAGAGTCATCAAATGTGCGCATACTCCCATTTCCATGCTCCTCGTGTACTTGGCAGATACTAACAGTGATGCTTTCCCAGGATACCGAGTATTCCATACACCTCGTCCTTCCTCCTGCCCCCGCTCCCCATGCTTCAACTTCTGCCAGAGCTCCTGCTCCGATTCCGCGGGGAGCTTCAGGACATCCCGCACCTCAAAGTCCATTCGCATCGAATCGATTCACGCCGCAGCACCTGCCTCACGGACAAGAGATCAGGTATCGAGGCCCCGCATTGCCCGCTGTTCCCCATGAGGCAGAGATCGGACTTGCTCTGAGGCGGAATATTGAGGCTATTCGCCGACAGATCGACATGCAGGAACGGGGCGGACCGTTGGGAGGCGTCGCGGCAGGCACCGCGGGGGCTACTTCTACGACTACGACAACTTCTTTTGCTCAGCAACCTGCATGGCCACACGTAGCTCCCGGTCTGTCGCACCCAGGACACACGTCCGTCTCGTCTGATTCCACATTGGCTTCCGGTCTGTCGGGGACCACCAATGCCAATAGCAATTTCCCTGAAGAAGTCCGATTGCGCCTACAGATCCTCAGAAACCAGATTGCGTTTGGCGAAGAGCAACTAAACCGAGGGGTTGCGCCCCCAATGGACCATATCATTCGCATACGTACACAATTATTCGCTCTGCTCGACGACCAATATCAGAACCCACATGCTGAACGCGACGGCTCGATTGAATCGTTGCTTACCCGCGTCTTCAACATCTATACCCGCGCCGACCAGCTGCGCGTCTCGCAAGCTCGAACCACGTCCCCATCTGTCCTATCTGGACCTCCCAATCCCGCACCCGGGCAGGCTCCCCTGTACCTTCTCTCGTCTCCAAACGGCTATCAAGCCTTGGTTGCATCTCCCCGCGGCGCAGAAACGATGCAGTCTTCTCTCGATGCGCTCCGAGCCTTGCACTCCCCAACCGGAGCCACTGCGCCTCGTACCGGTGCGCCACCGGAGATTCACAATGCCAACGCAGTCGTCATGGAGAACATCGTCCGACAGGCCGTACTCAATCAGCGCCTCGAAAATAACGGACAGTTGAGCTTCACGCGCAATCTCCGACGCATGTGGCTATTTGTGCGCTTGTATTTCTTCTGCTACATGTTCAGCGAACCGGGCACATGGTCCCGCGTGGTGTATGTGACTTTGGCCGTCCTCGTCTCCCTCCTGTCAGAAACCGGAGTCCCGCAGCAATTGTATCGAATGCTTGTGGCGCCAGTGCAACGACACCTGGAAGGACTGGTTCATTTCGCTCCGGACGAGCCGGCCCCAGCACCATCCGGCACGCAGTCGACTGGCCAAGGGAATGTTCCTCTTGCTCAGCCAACCGGACTGCGACACCAACTGCGACGCGTGGAACGGTCCTTGGCGCTGTTCATTGCAAGCTTGGTTCCCGGCGTGGGCGAGAGACACGTAGAAGTGCGCAACGCTGCAGAAGCGGCCCGGAACGCAGAGCGTGCAAGAGAGGAAGAAGAGCGGCGTCGACGGGAGGAGGAGGCCACCAACGCAGGCACGACTGGTGAGGCACAGACACTGGCTCAGCAGAGCGGCGAGAACGAACAGAGAGAGACGGGCGAGAACGCACCCAACACGATACCCCCAACTGAGAATTAGCCATAGCAGAGCCATTAGACTTGTACTGAGTATACTCGGTGATTTGAAACTTGAGTTCATGATGTATTGATAGTTGCGATCATATTTCCATACCGCCTAATGCGGCAAGATGTCTAGTCTATTAGCGCAATATATTTACTACAGCCTGAGTGTACTTTATCCCCGATGACATCCACATCCACACCCAAGCCCCATATCATGGTATCTATAACTTACTTCCCCCCAAGTCAGTCTCAACCGACGACTCCACACTAGAAGTCGGGGTAGCCGACGGACCAGCCATAGGACCCGTATCAAACGACTCATCACCATCGAAGTGCCTTTACCAGCGAACAGTTAGCAACCAACCACCATCCCATACCGAATCAAACCAAGACAAAAACGAATATTATGAAAAAGGAGAAGAGAGAACAGAACATACCATCCCCTCTCCGCCCCACCACTCAAAAACCCACAATCCCCATTCCTCACACACTCCCACCCCCCAGCAACTCCCTTGCCCCCCTTCCAATCAGGAACCTTCACCCCTCCATCTCGTAGTACCTCCGTCCCCGGCGCAAGCTCACCACCCTGCCCTACCTCTTCCCCCCTAACACCCTCCCCTCCTCTCCTCCTGACGAAGGTACTTACCCCGGCCGTATACACCTTAAAATCCTCAACTGAAGAATCCCCCGGCATTATCCCCGTCAAGGCCCGTCCCATAGCGATCAGCGGGGCAGCATGGGAGCAGATCAGGATGGCTTTGCTGGTCCGTTGGGCAGGAGGGAGTGATGCCTCGAGGGCGGAGATTTCCTCGTCGACGGAGGTGATCAGGGCTGAGAGGGTAGTTGCGACGCGGTCGTGGAGTTGGGCGACGGTTTCGCCGCGGGTGGAGGGGTGGAGGATTGGGTTGTAGGTGAGTTCATGTCCGTGTTCATGTTGGATTTGGGATGGGAGAAGGATGGTAGGGAAGTGGGTGGATAGGACTGAGGCCGGTGCGGGGGTCGGGTGGTGGAAGAAGGTTGTTGGGCCGAACCATTCTCTGTTTTTCATTAGTATCGGTTTTTGTTATAATTAAATTGGTGTGGAGGGGGGCAACGTACCCCAGGCCGGGTTCAGTGCGGACGGTTAGGTCGGCGTGGGTGTCGATTGCGGGGGGTTCGTTGATATGATCCGGGGAGGAGGTGGATGTCTGCTGCTGCTGCTGCTGCTGCTGCTGCTGCTTCAATGCTTCGACTGTGGGTTGGATTGTCTGCAGACATCGGTAGAATGGACTGCTGTAGATGCGAAACGGCTTGGGGGATATGTTGTCGCTGGTGAAATGGGCGGCCAGTTCGTGGGATTGGCGCACGCCGTGAGATGTTAGGGTTGGGTCTGCTGGGTTACCGGTTGGAGTAGGGAATTGGGCGTGGTAGGTGCCGGTTTTGTAGTCGATTGTCCAGTTGAGGCGGTGCTGGAGATATATTGTTAGTGTTGGGGATAGGATATGGAGGGAGGGGGGTGTGGGAGTAGTATGTGGTTGGTGCGTGGACTTACGCCATGGCGGGTGAGGTATATTGTGTCTAGAGGCATGTTTACAGGACACGAAAATAAAATTTTGGAGAAGATAGGGAGGGAGGGAGTGAAAGTAGTTGTGAGTTGTGCCGGTTAAAGATGGTGTTGATAAATGGATAAGGGAGATGTTGCGGGGAAACTTGGGGGTGGCGGTCAGACCTCGGCCCGGCCAAGTCTTAGATCTACTCTGCAGCTAATGATTACACTACTTGCATATGTTGTAGAACAATAATGATGACTGGAATCAGTTCATTCGCGAGATCACTCGATCAATAACTATCTAGACATCTCTGCCGGGTATCGATCCAACTCCGCCAAGCCACGAGAGTTCATCCCTCGCACCACAAACTAGATCCTCGCCATCAAAAAAAAATCTTCCAGGGTAAACTTTTTAGTAGAAGAAACCGAGAAGCTTGCCGGCAACGTGCTTGCGGCGAGCCTCCTCGTGGTCCATGATACCAGCGGAGGTGGTCAGGACGACGTAACCGAACTGACGGGAGGGGAGGAGCTGAGTGGCCCACTTCTCGAGGTCACGGAGCTGAACGGGGTAACGGGGGTTGATGACACCGCACTTGTTCAGACGGCCGTTGAGCTGGATGACGATCTTGCCGGAGCGGTGGTCGTCAACCTCCTCGAACTCGCCAATGTAGCCTGAAGAAGGAAAGATAATCAGCAATTTGTCGCGGTGATTTAAAAGTTAACCAAACACAGAAGAAATAAAAGAGTTCCGGAAACTTGTAAGATCGCCGCCATGTTGTAAACAACACTTGTCAATATCTCGGGCACTTAAAGGGCGAAAGCCGTGGTTGGTCTATAACCGTCGCCTAGTTATCAACCCGAATTTTTCTTCATTCATCTCCGTGGCGGATCGACCTTGCAAGTGCCCCGGAACTCTTCTTTTTCTTGTGGCATTTGGTAATGCATAGACATGAACATACCGTGCTTCTGCATGACGGAAAGGAACTTGATGATGACCTTGGAGGAAGGGCGGATCAGGACCTGACGGCGACCGCTCTTCTCGGCGTTGTTGATGGCGTTAAGCGCATCGTTGAGGACGGAAGTCTTGACCATTTTGACGGTGTAGAATCGAGATTCTCAAATCGAGGAATCGAAGGATATGAGGTATCTAAATATTTACGATGCCCAGTCCTCACACCATCGGTGAGGAATTGGGTCCATAATAGTCAGCCACCAGTAGTCGTCGAGCGCAAAGAGTGCCCCTTTTGCATAAACAAGGGTTCTTCAGCCCGTGCCGTAGTGAGGAAAGCGTATCACCCGGTCCTCCGATCATCGTATGCTGTCGGTTACTACACCAGCAAGGCCGAATATGCGGATTTCCATGGTGATTGCTCCCTCAGACTAGCTGGGAGGCTGTAGAATAGGGCGAAACAACGATTGATACATACCTCGAGGGATGTGTCGACGACGTCGGTAAGATCGAGTGTAGGAGGAAGAATCTCGCGGATCTTTTGGAGGTGAGAAGTTTTCGCTGTGCGGCCACTAGGGCTGCCGATCCGTGCCCTTATCAGTCACGTGTTTCTCACCGCTTTGATCGATGCCTCAGGCATAAACCTGTTTCTTGGCCTTTACTTTGTACAGGGAACATCAAGTTCGACGCTTATGACTAATTTCAATGTAAACCGATTTCTTTAGGGCTCTTAAAAAGTTTCGACTTCATCTTATTTACTGTGCAGGCCGCATATTTGACTCGTGCATAACAGTGTAATGCCACATCCCATACCTTGGGCTTTGATCACCATGGTAGTGGACTTGAATATGAAGACAAGTCTATCCCGACAATCACTCGGTTACGCATTACTATTTGCTCTCATGCTGTTTCTTGCTTTTTACCATTCTCTATACAGGTCTTTTGGTAGGATGAGGTGATACGTGGAGCAGGGTCAAGGGATTCGTGACAGTGTTTCTCAAAGGGGGTTGGTTACATGACTTCTCGGGCATACATGATAATGCTAAAGAACCTCTGTCTAATTAAAACTGATGTGGGGGCGCAAAGATGTGGCAAAGTGGATAGTAATAGTAGAGGAGAAGATCGAAACAAAAAGGCCGGAAGGAAAAGTGCAAACATGCATTGCGAGATGTCATGACAACAGGGGTCCGAAAGCAGGGGGTTCGTGCCGGACAGAGGGCCGAGGTGTTGGGGAGGGGGAGAAGGGGAAGGTGCGGGGGAAGGGGTAAGGGTGCTCAAAAGGTGTCATACATCGGTGATAGGGAGAGGTCGTTGGGTAGGGATGGTGATATACGGGTCGGTGGAAACATTAGCCCTTATGCGCTGATTCACTGGGCACGGCCTAGTGAACCCTAGGATTTGAGCAATCAGTAGCACAATGCGACTTGGGTTCCGTGTGGGGACGGGTACTCGGGGGGAGCAGAGACAATGTCGTTGCTACCCTGAGAGCACCGACGGATGAGGTCGTCCTCCTAGGGGTGCGGTCTCGGAAGCGAGCACCTGGGTTTGACTAGCAGCACATAACAGCGGCTTACGCCATAGCTGCGGCAGTGGACATCGTGATTTGACGCTTGACCTGCTCACGAGTCCACCGGGCGGTGTCAATGGTACGAGATCCAAACTCCCTGTTGGTCCTCGTCTCACGGACCAGACTGGTGACCCAGTCGTTACGGAAGTAGGCAGCAAACTCGCCGTTGGGGAAGGCATCAGCCAGATCACTAAAACATGTTAGTCACGAGGCCAGAGTTGTGAGAGTGAAGGAAACCTACCCAATAACACCCATGGTTGCCCTCATCAGACCCTCGCTGCGGTTGAAATCCTGGGAAATGGTGTGGAGCAACTGGAAGATGTGATCCACGAAGGGATGCAGTTGGGAGACTAATATCATGTTAGTGAAGTGTTCGTTGCTACGTTTCTGAAAATAACGTACCCTGAGGCTTGCCCTTGTAGGACAGGAGGATACCACCCCAAGCATCCATGATACCCTCACGCAGCGAGACAATGTACTCTTGCATCTCGGGGGTCACGTCGTTGCTGGCGGTCACAACAGAGGCCTGGTGCAGAACCTGGGCAACGACGTTGAGGTAGGTGTCGAACTGGGTGCCAATAGCCTGAGCGATATCACCGAATGTCTCAAGGATGGCAGGCTTCAGCACGTTGGTCGAGGACTAAGGCAGTGTTAGCAGTTGTTTGTCTTCATGTAGCGAGAATTGGTTCCTTACCCTCAGGATTGTGAGAAGGGCGTTCATGAAACCGTCGCAGTAGGGCTGCACCCGCTCGTTCAAGGCACGTGAAATGTCGCTGACCAGGCCGATGGCCATAGAGCAAAGACCAGGCTCTTCCTGGTTCTCCAGGGCCTTGTACAGGAAGGGGGCAAAGTTGTCCATGTACTTGATGAAGTCATCCTCCAAGGCACCCGCAATGGCACCGATCGTGGCGAATACAACATCAGGGACACTGGACTTGGGAGGAACAGTGGCCAAGATCTGAAGCATGACCTGCATGATGCGGTCGGCTTGGGGCTTGATCTCAGTCTCGAGTCGTTGAACGACAGCCTAGAAAGTCAGTCACAGCTGGAGCAATGCCAGAAATGGGATAAACATACAAGTACAACGCTAGTAATGCTAGTCTGCATCTCTTCCAAGGTGATGCGGTCCTCAACGCTAACCACTTGTTGTTGCATGGGGATGGTGTGCTCCAGGCGCTGAAGCATGACGTCCGAGAGGTTGCCCACAAGGGGAAGGCTGTCATTGGCAGCGTTGGTCACAAAGGAGTTGAGGACCTCGTATCCAGCGGTACGGAGCTGGTTGTCTGCATCTTGTCTGCGATAAAGTTAGCGCCTGGCTTCAGACCAGTGACATGGGACTTCGGTATGGACTTACCTCTCAGTAAGAGCAAGGAGCGACTTGACACTGTCCTCGAAGTGCTTAGACAGAGGGTTGGTCTGGGCGCCATAGTCGCCGGCAAAACGATCGGCAACGTTCATCAGGGCCCAGCAGCAGGAGCTGGCGATCTTGGGAGAGCTTGCCAAGCCGTTGAACAGGCAAGTGATGAGGGGTTGGAGGTGCACGTCAGGGTCAAGGGTTTCAGAGCAGAAGTCACAGACACGGCCAAGAGCGTAGGCGACCGAATCACGGACCTGGATGGAGCTGTCCTGCATCATGCCGACGAGGACGGGAAGAGCCTGCTTGATGAGAGGCTCCAGGACCTTGGGATCGGGGCCATCCATGATGGCGCCGAATGCCGCAACTGCAGCATCCCTGTGGCGCCAATCCTCGTTACGGATGTTCTCCTCGACAAAGGTCAAGACAGGCTGGATCACATCACCCTGCACGCATTGAGCGTAGAGCTGCAGGGCCTGGTAAGCAGCGCGAGAGACGTTGTACTCATCGTCCGTGGCATCCTCATCCTGTCTGCACATGGCCTGCAGGAGGACGGGAACGACTTCCCGGCAGGCGACGCGGGCAAAGCCAAAGAAGGGGCGGACCTCGGGGAGACCCTCTGCTTGTGCCTATATGACTCACCATTAGCCACGATATCCACAACATAGCTGTTTTCAGATAATGAATAGGACTTACCGCCGCGTTGTCATCCTCAATAGCGTATTCCTCCTCACAAACGGTGCACCAGAATTCAATGGCCAGCTTAGCCACATCCTCCTCCTCGCTCTTCATTCCCATGATCGACAGGCCAAACAGAGCCTTCTCCATGTAGAAGCGCATCTTATCATAGTAGGCACCCATGATACGGTTCAGGCAACCGAATGCGCCCGCCTGCACACGTAGATCATCGGCCTGTGTCGCTTCGCACACCACCTGCATGATGTAGTTCCGCTCACCCTCGTTCTCCATGTTCGACCGCACGAAGTCAACGGAATCACTGAGGGCCTTGATGGCGGCGAATCGGATGTCCATGTTCTGCTCCTCGCGCCGAGCACCCTGAACGACGGCGGTCAGGATAGCATTGGAGTGAGCAGCCAAGCTCTCGCGAAGCTCAGCATCCTGGGACTCGCAAATGAAGCCGATGGTGACCAGGGAGGCCTGCTTCAGTTGATCGGAACCACTCGCGACATTCTGGACGAGGATGTTCATCAGTTCCGGCCACTCGTTCCGGGGAAGTTCGATAGCAGCGATGGAGACGATGAATTGGGCGGCAGACTGGCCGGCGCGGCCGTCCTTCGAGTTAAGCGTCTTGAGGCCAAGCTCCTTGACCTGCGCCTTGATTTCTGGGGTAATTTGCTGTAGCCATTTTGTTTGGACCTCCTGGAGCTTTGCGAGGTCTCTGTAAGTGAAAGCGTTCTTCAAAGCGATACCGGCAGCGGTACGGATGTGGGACGCGGAATCTTCGTTTGCGAGTTCCTGACCGAGTGTGACAAGGTACTGGGCCTGAAGTCCGGCGAAAAAGAGTCATGATTAGTATGTTTGATACAAGACCAATTACTAGCAAGAGGATAAGTCTAGAACTTACGAAGTCAACCTCCGCCGCGTGGGACAACTGCTGTTCGGCATGGGAACGAGTCGCCGCATCTATATTTGCCAGCAAGATAGCCTGTTAGTGATTCTGATGCCTTATTCTAGTAACATAATCTGAACACAAGAAGGGGCGAAAGCAAAAAATTACCTGGCGAGAGGGTACTCTCCAACACCTGAGTGACGTTCATGTTGCCGTATGCGGAAAACCGAAGCAAGCGATCACAAGCGAAAAGGACAATAAAAAAAGAGAAGGTGAAGGAGCTGTTCTGACTCAAAGAGAAACAAAGCAGACAGAACCAGGCTATTAAGAAACCGTCCACAACAAAAGAGTGGTAGTGTGGACAGGAGATGGGGGATTATCTCTGGAGGATGGAGGGCAGAGGTTGTTTTTGTGGATTATGACGAGGCATGCACCAGGTCTTCCGGGGGGGGTAGAGGAGGGCGAAAAGACGGCGGTGGTGCACGCCAGGACCAAGCAAAACAAGAGGAAAAAGGAAAGCCCCAGGGTCGGATAAACAGACACGGACGGGGTGTAGGATAAAAAGACAAGGATGTCGAAGCTATGCGGATTGAGGAGAGGGGAGAAAAGGAAGTACTGGGGGGAGGAAGTAGCAAGAAGCGAGAAGGAGAGAGAAAGAGAGGGATCAATAATAATGTGAGGGCGATTCCCTTCAATTTGCAGTTCCAGCAGAAGAATGGACGAGCAACTGCGAATCGACCAGTCAGCGCCCGCCAGAGCCCTGTGAACCCTGCTCTCTTATTGGCCGAGACCCGCGGAATTCTTAGGCTTAGTCATTTCACGTGACCAATTGGTGGTCGGTGACGGCTAGTCAGTGACTCGTCCAGATTCGTAGCGACCGGAGAAAAATAGAGGACAAGGCGAATATGATCCCAGGAGATTTTATTATTATTATGCAGAACCTCTCTATTGCATTCCGCTATCACATAGCTAGTAGATAAGTACTATCAGACAATATTACAAACTTTCCTGGGAGGGGTGCATGCTGGGCTGCAGAGAAGTTGCTGTTCCTTTCCCCTCCCTCAAATCATGGGCGGTGGTCTGGTCTTGTCGTCACCAGTTTCACCTTGCAAAAATACGGTATTTTGTAATGGGGAACTGCCAATTCTTGCCCGGCTGCCTGCCTGAGGTGCCCCTCCCTCCCTCTCTCTTTGCTGGTCATTTTTGTGTTTTCCCGCAACCCAAATTTTTCCCCTCCACGGGTTTGCTTGTTTTGATTTTGCTGCTTGAAGTGGTCCTCGATCCACTCACTGTGACCCCGGCGACCAGCTCCATCTCTCAGGGCGTCAACCCCCCAACGCACAAATCATCACGGCTGTTTTTCGAGGCATTGTTTTTACTAACTATATCTGTCCACTTAAAGTGCCGGGTGGCTGTTCCATAAAGATTCTTTTGGGTTCTGTGTGTCTATCATTCGCGGGTGGTCGTCGTGGATCGTCAGAAAAACTAACCGCAACTATCCTGACAGCCTAGCTTCGGTGCCTTGCTCTAAGATAAAGCTCTTCCGTAGTACTCCGTACTCTGAACCTTTCCCCTTAACGTGATGGGAGCATTGATCGACAGATAGTCTTCATCAGCTCTGGTGTTGATCGAGGGAATCTTTTCCCAACTGATTGGAATCCTAGTGGAACCGGTCGCTGAGACATGACGTAGTGCAAATTAGCAAACAAAGTATTCTCGGGTTGTGTGTGCTCCGTGCGCGGAAAGAGAATCGAGGCGAGAAGAGAGCAGATGGACGTGTCTTGTTGTTGTTGTTATTATCATTCTTCAAGTTCCTCCATATCTTCCTCGTCTTCCTCTTCCTCCTCATCCTCCAGCTCCGCATCTAGGTCTAACACTTCATATCGCATAGCATCGCCATACAGTACGCAGATCGCCCGGCGACCGCGTCTGCCATTGACATCAACTCTAATAGGCTTTGCTTTCGCTTTAGCCCCAGTGAAAGTATGCTTGATAAGACCCGCAAACGAAGAATCTGGAGACATGGGTTCCACGACCGTTGCGGATGTAACCGGGTCAGGCGATGTAGGTTCCTGCAGGCTATCATGATAGTCCACGGGACAAGGCGCCAGAGACTCGGCAACCGTGTTAGTTTTCATTGTTGCAGCAGGCTGGAAAGGAAGGCTAAGGAGGTAAGAGGTTCCTTCTACAGCGGAAGTTAGCGGATCTGGAAAGAGAAAGGTCCACGGACGAATAGGAAAAGCATACTATTGTTCGACCACAAGATTACAACTGTACCATCCTCAACAAACTGAACCTGTCGGACTTCTCCTTCCTGTAGATCGAGTGCTCCGGTAGAGATTCGTCGAGTGGAACTAACACCATTTTCGGAGTCCAACTCAACACGATAGAAACACACTGGATACATCAGTACGCCATCATAGGAGGGCCTTCATATGCCGGAGTTTGCTTACGCAGATGCCTCTTCTTGATGGATCTAGTAGCAATGTAGATCACACATTGATCCTTCTTTTCGGTATCCTGCATGCCTGGTGAGCGATAATGCTTACATAAACAACTGCAATGTCTTACCTCGTTGCACATGACAATATCAATAACATCCTTATCACAGTCAGGATGAAGAGCCAAAGGCGAACGATGAAGTATTCCCCGGCGTTGTGTCAGTGCGATCTGCCCAAAGACCCTCTCGAACTGTAGCCCCAAGCGCTTCGTAAGGTCGTTCATCTTGGGTAGCTCAACCGAGTTGGCCTCCTCGGGGCTCTCACTCTGCTCGAGAAGCTTTTTGAATGTGTCATAGAAAGACCTATCCTGGCCGGTTGGAGCCCATTTGTCTGAGGATGTGGTAGGTGGCCTTGGCATTCCCATCATGGGCAGCTGCTGAATGAAGTTCCGCAACTTGCTCTTGGTAAGAGCGCCGCGTATGTATTTCAACGTCTGAGGATACTCGACCATGTCTGTCTTCTCCATCAACTCCTCTAGGGTTTGTGACATCGGTTCCGCACTTTGCATGTCTATCTCATGGCGAAGCCATCTAGAGAAACAGCTAAACTGGGTTAACTCTTCGTTGGCATGGATTAGGATGTGGTGGGCGAGAAGGTGAAGACAATCGAGGGTCTCCACGATCGCCGTTAGGTCTGATGTTTCCAGGCCAAGTACTTCACTCAGTTTATAGAATTTTGATAGCCCAATCAGCCGGCTCAATAATACTTCGCACCTTTCCAGAGCGGGAAGAAGGCATTCGTGGGTTAATCGTCGGACATTCTCATAGCCGCTAGAAACAGCCTTCTCCCATCTCTTGTGTCCCTGTAAGATGGTCAGTATGAATACTATGGATGGAAAGCATGTCAGAAGCATACCCTCTCGCCAACAATATCCACCAAGAATTCCCTCAATGGCTCGAAGCAATCCCCAGTAACAACCAGGTGATACGCAGCTGTGACAAAGTCACAGTGGCATTTCTCCTGCAAATCCTCATTGACACTGCGCATGTACCTTGTCGGCAGTTCTTGTGCATTCTTCCATTCAAGCTCAATCTGCCTCTGCACCTGACTGATATATCGCAGCAAATTCTGTAGCTGTGTCGTCTTGTGCGCAAGGAGGGACAGATATCTTCCTGACCGGGTGATGAAGCGAAGATCAAGTGTGAGAAGGTGTAAAGGGCTCGAGGTGGCCTCCGGCGCCAGCGCCAATAATGCATGTGTCGAGCTAAGTGGATGCGAGGCATGACGAAGGATCTGGCAGGGGCCCGAATTCCCAATAGAACCTCCGACCTGAAGAGAGCCAATCTCGAAACAGTCGAAGATGCGCAGGTGGACTGTCCCGTCATCAAAGCCTACTAGTAATACATCCACCGCGTCGCTAGCGCTTTTTGAGATAGCATGGAATATAGCGTCAATAGACGCCCGCGAACTGAAAACATCGTCACTAGATACTGTGTTAGCTGCGTCATTCGCACAGAAGGATGGAAGACCCACTCGCTGCCTGTTGCTGGCAATGTGCTTAGTTTGGGGAGTGAAGACTCCACATCAAGCAATGCTAGCTCTCTCGGTAAGTCAGCTTTAAGTAAAGCTGCTGCTTTGGACGGATGATTGTCCGGGGACAAGAGGTCATCGACGTTGACTTGGCCGGCAGCGTCGTGCAAGTGCCTCTTTGCTGCTTTGCTGTCGGTGAAATTCACTCCCCAACCTAAGCAGGTCACCTTGACAGGAGGTGATGATTCGCCGTCAGACTGATAAGCAGGGTAATGGTGAACGGTTTTCCCGCTGTAAGCGCTGATGACCCGGATGGTGTTGTCAGCGCAAGCGACAGACAGCAGATGACCTGCCAATATGTCAGTCTTCTCCAAAGCAAAAAGATGGGATGAGCCAGAAGAGCTGCACGACCAGATGCCCAACTACGAAGTAAAAAACTTACCGGTATTCTTCCACTTCAATCCTCGAATCTCGCCACCACCATCATCCTCATCAAGATATGGATCTCCTTTGAAATTGCCCCCAAGAACCTTCTGCCCATTCAGGCGGTAGACAAAAAGTTCATCGTCCTCACTCGACAGAGCAATGAGATCCATCGTGGGACAGTAAGTCAGAATGTTTGCCTTACATTTTGCGGGTAAGGACTTCTCCCCGACAGGCGTGAGCTGCGGCTCATGGGGCGGCCGTGAATCTTGATCTTCAGCCATATTGGATGGACGGGACCTTAGTCCATGATAGAACGGGAAAGGAATTAATTGCTGTGAATGCCTGTATATCGCGTGTCCAGCCCTGTCGTTCAGTTGTCTTGGTTGGATTTCCCTAGCGGATGCCCGAAACTCTTGGCATGCGGGTGTTTGTCGCGTTGGTTTGGCTCGCGTTGATCCGCTCCCGATCTACTGGGGAAGAGCATCACTAACAAGGTATAAACACTAGTAACTTATAGGATGAAAGACTAAAGTCATATGCAAGTGTAATATCTGGTTTTTATTTGCCGGTCCATCATAAAATATCTGTTCTGATCGCTAATATGCATCGTCATGATTATATACAAGATATATCCACACACCACGTGCCCCTTTCAAAGTGTATTTTTACAAAAGTACGATGAAAGGTGTTTCGCAATTCATCGATAGTATCAGAATTCTGCACCTGAGCCAGAATCTATCATGTGCTTCAGATAGCTCAGCTCATCCATCATTTCGCGCATTGCTGCAGATTGCCCCAGTAACGAAACCCTGCTAAAGCGCTCAGGATCCTTGCAGGGTGCAGCCAAGCTCTGGGAATTACGGGGGGTCTTGTCGCTGGTGACATCCTCGGCAAATTGCAGCGTCGAGGGGTCGGGGCTCTGTAAGAGGCCGAGACCCTTGATCGACTCGTCCGCGCCGAAAAAGGCAGCGTGTCGCTTGGGGTTGCTTTCCACGCGATCTTCGTCATCGATGTACAGACCGGGTATGTCAAGATCAGAGGGGGATAATGAAATGGAAAGTCGAGGAAGAGGGAGATCCAAGCGAGGCGAATCACCTGCGATGGAAGTGGCCGCTGATTGGGAGTTGACTGTAAGATGGGGTGTGTCTGGATCACTCAGATCCGCAGGTATAGAAGTTTTGAGGAAGTCCATGGTACCAGCGAAGTCGTTCGTGGAAGGTACCTGGGCATCTTTGGTGACAGTGATTGAGCATGCCATAGACTTGGGAGACAGAACATCCGTATCCACTGTCCACTCCGAAAAGTGACTCCGTTCACACACGGAGCTGCCAGCCACAGACTCAGTATCGGTGAAATCCGAAAAATGGCTGCCTAGAGCCTCAGGGTCGAGAGCCTTCTCTTGCTCATCGATGTCCCGAAGCGCTTCATCCATGACTGATGACGGCGTATTGGGCAATGTCGGGAGTCTCTTCTCATCGGCCGTGAAGCCGGTTGGAGTTGTACCAAGATCGAACGTCGAGGGCCCAATAGCTGTCGATAGCATTGCTGGTGACTCCATGGGAAGTGATCTTCTGACTATATGCCGCTGTCCCTCCCGAGTCGGGAGTTTATCGGAACTTTCGCTTGCTGGTTTGGTCTGCACGGTGAGAGGAGTTCTGTGAGAGCCACTCTCTGTAATCTTTGAGTTGAGCGCTCGTCGGTCCTGGATTGTCAAAGGCACCGAGCGGCGTTCTCCAGAGTTTCCGGGTGTGCGGAGGGTATCAGTCGAATGTTGATAAACGTTGCTGGGAGCAGCAAGTGGGGAGCTCTCAAAAGTAGCAGGCGGTTGGACTGCGAGGTAGGGATGCTCTTCTTGCCTCCCAAATAGGCCCTTGAGCCCATGATTTGCAGCGGGCTTATTAGCCCGGCAGTCATCTTCTGTGGATCCGAGATCGGGTGAAGATGTGTTCCAATGTCGGAAGGCCGCGCGAAGACCCCTTGATCTAGGCGGCGACACGGAGCGAGCGGCTTTGCATCCGGCTGCTCTCGGTGCGTCCAGGCCCTTCGCCTTTGGGGTTGCGCTACTGGGCTGCGATGCGCCTCTGTGCGTGATGATACCGAGAGGAGATGTGCTGAATGACCAAGCCGGAGCCGGTTGTTGCAACAAAGGAGGAGACGTGCGAAGACGGGGGAGCTTTGGCTTAGGTGGCTGTCGAGGATTCATGTACTTGTCTT